CATCAAAACCCTGTTTCAAGTGCACCGAGCCCGTTCTAAAATTCTGAACAAAACTTTTCACTTCTTTTCTAGAAGCCTCCCCCCATTCTCTTCGAGCGTCGAACTGAACTCTAGCGCCTGTGCAGCGCGCAAAGGAGAATTCAGGTTTCTCAAAGGCCCATAAACTCTGAGTAAACACTAGGGAGAAGCAAGATCATTTTTTGGTGGTGGGTGAGCACAAGGCCCGCAACCTGCCTTTTGCTCCGACCGCCTCGCCGGGTCCTGCGTTAAAAGGAACACTATCTGAGCAGAGGAAGGGACAGCCACATCACTCAGTCAGCGGAGGAATGTGGGGACTCACTCACCGCTGCTCCTCCTTCATCCGACTCGAGAGGGGCTTGGGTTCTCTGTGACTGCGTATTTTGCTCGTTGCAGCCTCAGCTTTAATGAGATTCTTTAACTTCCCCAAGTCCGTTTACAGGTTACAGCCTTATTTGGGGGCCCTAGTTTTCCACCCTGGCTACACACCCTGGGAACAATTGCCTCTCCCTCGCTTGAAAGGAGAGGGAGCGCCCCATTTCTGCTGAATGCACTTCTCCAGTGCATCCAAGGCTGGCGGGCTTTTGATGGCCACAATACAGGCTACGCCCAAAGAGTGTCTCTTTGGTCAGATCGACAACGCTTGGCTTCACGTTTGCAAGTTAAACGGGCAGAAACCCGGCTGAAACTCCCACGCCAGACGCCAGGGACACTTCCCTCCGTCCTGCTCAGAGCAGAACTGGGCAATGGGTCTGGGCAAGGGGAGGGAAGAAAGGAGGGGGGATTGTTAGGAGGGGGCGCTGGACAAGAGTCCTGATTCTCAGCCGCCCTCTAGAAGAAGGGGGGTGGGGGACCATTTTCTCCGGTATTTCTCTCTTATTTATTTATTTTTTCATTTTTCTTTGTTGGCAGCTTTATCCAAATTAAAAAAAAAAAAAATGAGAGCGTTTTCTCCTTCTTCACCTAGGTTGCTGCTTTTCTTTCAGCCCCTGAAAATGTGACTCCTTCATAAAATCAAAATTTATGATTATTCAAATGTTAGGGACTGTGAAAAGAGAGGAAGAAAGAGAGAAAATTAATATTGCAGCTGTTCTTCTGATTAATGAGAGATAATTGCTCATGAAAAGTCACCCCTGTGGCATTTTGTTGTCTCCTGGATCTTTGTTCTTTTCCACTATTATTGAGGACTTTCTTGAAGACTAAGCGGTTCTTTTCAATTTTGGGGTATTCAGAAAGGGTTGCCTGGTTACAGAGAATGGGGAAATCTCGGGCTATATCGGGTAAGATGTGCCACAGACAGCAATATCACAATGCCACTTGGAGAAAAGGATGGATACAAGTTAACGATGCGCTTTCAATAAAACATTCATAGACTTGTTCACGCTTTGATAATGACCTCATTAAAGGGAGCTGGGGGCAAGTAAGTCCTGTCTCCTGTTTGTGTTCGGCTAACAAAACCCAGCTTTCAGATCATTCATCGCTTTGGAAACTAATATGAAATCAATGTAAGAGAAGCAAATAAATCCGAGGCGGCCCCGCCAACTCCAGGGCTGTCCCGCCCAGCTCGCGGCCTCGGTTTGGGGCAGGAGAACCCTGTGGGCAAACGCTGAAACTGGGAGGGAAATAAAGGACTATGGATGGAGGGGGGGCCCTTTGGGGGCTCAGAGGAAGGGGCAAAGTAGGAGTCACAGCCGGAAAAACCGCTGAGCACGTCAAGGGGTCAGAACTCCAGAGCCTGTTGAATAAGCAACGCTAAATCCCCACCCTCTACATTCTGACTTTGCCCACGAAAGGAAAAGTAAGAAGAAGGAAGAGAGGGATATGGGGTTCGGTTCAGGTGTGATCCCAGACTGGGGTAAAGTACTGGAAGACTCTTTGAAAGAAAAGAATTCAAATCTCAAGTTTGAGCTGGGAGGAAACTGTTCATCTAGGCTCGAATTGGAGCGTCCAGGGGCAGAAGGTGGCACCTCTGAACTGCTTTGATTTTTTTCTCAGTTAAGGGTAAGGGTGGGTGTCCAGACTGGGGAGGGGAGGAGGGATGGAGGGGGCAATTTTGTTACATTCACATTTGTGACATTGCCTTGCATTCAAGGAAGACAAAGCCATCCTCTGTCATCCTGAGCAAGAGGGAGGAAATCAAAGTATCCCCCCCCCCTTAAAAGAACTAATTTTCTTCTTGAATTATGAAAGTAATGGCTTAGGTAACAGCCTGTACTCTGTACCCAACTGCTTAATACCAAATAAATCCTTCCACGTGGCTCTCCAAGTTGTGGCAATTAGAGCTCATTATAGGCTCATAAGAGCTCTCATTTCAGGGATTACTTAATGGACAATGAAATTTTATCAGACAGAATCACTGAGAAATAAAATCGTGCAGCAGTGGGGGCACCATGGGGGCATGCCAGGGTCCTCCGAGGGTCCCCTTCTGCTCTGAGCTGATTCAAGGTGTTGCTGTCCTGGGGAAGGTTCTAGCTGAGAGAGCTGCAAAGCTGCTCAGGGCCATGGAGGGAGGCTTCCTGTGTGCATGTTGGGGTGGGGGGCATGGTGCATGGTGGGGCCTGCTTCTAAAGATGGGGTTAGAGTGGAGAAAAGGAGAACCCGACAGACAGATGGGGAGACAATGAGAGATCCAAAGAGAGCTAAAGAGAAGTGTAAGAAGAGAAAGACTAGTGTTGAACATGACTCCCCAAATACTTGCTGTTTTAGGGCTCAAGCAATTAACCAAGTGCCCTAATAGTCAAGTTCCTCAGACATGGTCTGCTTTTGGCCTCAGTCTGGCTGCAAGCAAGTGCTCCCCTTGCAGCCCTAAGCAACCCCGTGAGCCTCTCACTTTTCTCAAACTTCCTTAGCATTCCAACCTCATGCTTCTGTAGCCAGGTATAAATTTAGTTAGATGCTCAAGCTTCATAATTAGGATTCTCCAGAATAAAATGATCCTCACACAAGCACAACTTCCAGCACATTAGCATAGTTCTTCCTGTGAGCACACTCAGAACCACCGGGAACATGATGACCCAAACCTTCAGCCCCAAATCTGGTATAACTTCTACCTAGCCCAGAGGAGACAACAGGATATAAATATATTTTCAAAGTGAACAAATAAATGTTTTATTTGTATTACAATATCATAAATATATTATATATTTTCAAACACACACATGTACATGTGTAGAGTACTTGCAAAGTGAATGGGGATATCATGTCATCTATTTGGACAATTTAAGCCTGTAAAAAACACTCTCATTACGCCTCTCTTGATGGTGGAGCCCCCAGTCTTCTTTTGGGGGCTGGAATGATCCCAGGGACTGCCTGGATTCTTCAGATTTGAGTGAGGTCTGGCTGGACCAGGCAGGTCTGGTTCAGGCTGAGCATCTGCGATGGCCGCACCGGCAAACCTTGTGTTACAAAAGTAGTTACAGCTGAGCTGCCCTGAGTTAAGCCCTGAGACTCCTTAATTGTTGTCACAAGATGTTGGATTAACACATTTCTGGAATAGCTGTCTGTTTACACTCTGGAGACCCACCGTCCACTAACCACTTTCTAATTGAATTCTAATCACATTCAAATAGCTCAATAACCAGCCTCAGCTGCAATTCATAAAACTTTAATTGCCATCCATAAATCCTGGGCTCCCCAGAGTGGGGCATCCCTACAACCCAATTACACTTCTCTAGCAGGCAACAGAGACTGTCACAGAGATGACAAGGGAAAGGGAGAGACAGAAAGACAGAGGACAGAGAGATAGTCACACCTCCAGCTGAGAAGATAGTGCTCCCCTAGGATTTGAGCACTTGGTTCTCACAGGTGGAGGAAGTCGTGTCCCCAAGTTTCTTAGCACCACTGTGAACTCAGGCCTGAAGTTAGCTGTTTTGGGGAAAGGGTCGGATTTGTAGCTGTTGCTCACCCTCCCTACTCCAGACAGATTTTCTATAGGAAAAAGAAGAGAAAGCTGTCACCTTGCTTTCCCCAAAGATCAATATCTTGGCAGCCACCCTCTCGCACATAGCCTCTGGTGCACAAGTCTTCCCCTGGACCCTGTGCCTCTCACAGATTTCCTTTTCCCAACATTTCTCCCATCCAAGGCTGAGGCTGGATTCCTTGCCATCTTTTTGAGATTTTAAAGGAGTGCAGAAGGGGACAGTGCTTCCTGGTTAGTCTGCCTGCTGCCAAAGATTTGTAAAATGCAAAGAGCTGGAGATGGGGATGGGGGTGGGGAATCCAGAGCAAAGAGGGCTAGGACTTGGGTCCTTTCTCCAAAATCCCTGGATGGAGTTTGCAGGGTTGGCCTGGACAAGTAGTGGTGGAATCATTTGCAGAAAGAAAAGAGTGACTCTTCAGCATCTCTCTCTGCCAAAGGAGGAGCTGCCCATTAGAAAGGGACACAAAGAAGGGTCATTGATCTGAGTAGCTCCAAGTGCAAAGGCATTTTAGTTTCTCAAGAATCAGAATGAAAAGCTCCTCAGCTTCTTAGCTGGGAGGCCTCACTGTTACGCACGAGTCTCTCGCGAACTAGCCACCTGAATGACCTTGGCCAAGTCCAAAAGCTCAGGGACTCTGAGTGTGTGTGTGTGTGTGTGTGTGTGTGTGTGTGTGTCTGTGGCCTAAGCCACGTTCCGGGACTGGGCTGCTGCGAGTCCTCTGCCCACACAATCCTGCTCCAAACTGCAGGCTTCACACTTTACCGAGTCTCAGCCACGGCTGGCACAGAGAAACAGGGTGCACTGGGCATCCCTATTAAAATGGCCTCAAAGTCTCCACCTGGTGCGCCTTGCAGCCGGGCGCGGGGAAGAGTTGGGCTGGGGCCTAGGCTAGAGAAGGGGTGGGATGGAGGATGCAGCCCTGATTTTTCGGGAAAGCGTGGAGAAAGAGAGGGGAGGAGGCCGGCGTCCCCGCGAAATTAACAAAACCTACATTTTGCAAAGTCTCCTCCATCCCCCTCCTCCGAGTTATTCCCTGCCGCGCGCCCGCCCCTCCTCGCCGCTTTCTGTTGTGACTCGGGCAGCCTATCCCGAGGGTGGGGAGATGCCGAGGAGCTCGAGCCGAGCGGTACTCAGCAGCATCACGTGCCGGGGTGGGGGCTATAAAATCCCGGAGCCGGGGCGCCGGGCGGGGGACGTGAGGACCAGCCCTCTCCAGGGACCCCTTTGTTCGCAGCCCAGACGCCGACACCTCGGCGTCCCCAAGGGCTTGACCGCCTGCATCCGCTCGGAGCCCGGCGCAGAGCTCTGAACAGGAGAGGGGAGGGGGCGCCACAGCCGGCCCGGCCCTCCAGCCACCCACCCCTCCCGACATGTCGCGCTCCTTCTATGTCGACTCGCTCATCATCAAGGATTCCTCACGGCCCGCGCCCTCGCTGCCAGAGCCGCACCCGGGACCAGATTTCTTCATCCCTCTGGGCATGCCGTCCCCGTTGGTGATGTCCATGTCCGGGCCCAGCTGCGCGTCCCGCAAGAGCGGCGCGTTTTGCGTTTGCCCGCTCTGCGTCACTTCGCACCTGCACTCCTCTAGGGGCCCGGCGGGCTCCAGCGGCGGGGGCACAGGGACCGGGAGTTCCGGGGCCGGGGGTGGCGGGGCGGCGGGGGCCTCCGGCGCGTTGCCCCTGCTCAAGAGTCAGTTCTCTTCGGGGCCTGGGGAAGGGCAGTTTTGCCCGCGCGTGAGCCACGCGCACCATCACCACCACGCACCACAGCACCACCATCACCACCACCAGCCCCAACAGCCTGGCTCGGCTGCTGCAGCTGCGGCCGCGGCAGCAGCGGCGGCCGCCGCCGCGGCCTTGGGGCACACGCAGCACCACGCACCTGTCTGCGCCGCCACCACTTACAACGTGGCTGATCCGCGGAGATTCCACTGTCTCACGATGGGTAGGGCGGGGTCTTGGGGCACCTGCGCGCCGCGCCTTCTAGGCTCTCGGGAACAAACTTTCCACCTATTGTGGAGGGAGTGGGAGCTTGGGAGGCCGGGTGCGGAGGGAGGAGGGGCTTTTAGTATAACTGTGAAGTGGTCCCAAGAAGTTCCACGAAGAAGGAAGTTAGCTTGCCAATTTCTCCAAGCAGCCTGGTGCGGCTTCGTTCCTGGTATCTGTTCCCCTTATTACCTGGTATCTGGTAATAAGGGGCCTCAGGGACGTCCAACTCAAGGGTTGAGAAATGGGATGTTAAGTGGCTGAGGCTCGGAGGTTCGGGATGTGTTTGAACTTCAGTGTGGCATTTGGCGTTGGGTCTGGCTAAAGCGTTTTGATGCTTTTGGCTAAACTTGACTGTTTCTAGCTCTCTGCTAGGCCTGAAAGGAACCGATCTGACTATGCAAGCTCCCAGCCTTCCCCTCCCACCCTTGAAACTGACTTTTCGTCCCACACATCTAAGGCCTTTAGTGGCTTTAGATGTCTGTCCTTCCTGGTAAAGTAACGACGCTGGGAAATGGGAAGGGTGAGCGATGGGTACAGGTATTTGGTTGAGTTTCCCGGGTGGGTCCTTGAGAGGCATCCTTTCCAAGGGGTGGCACGTGGGGTGGCGATGGGTGTATCAAGAATGACCTCTCTGCCCTTTGTGTGCAGGGAGCTCTGACGCCAGCCAGGTACCTAATGGCAAGAGGATGAGGACCGCGTTCACCAGCACGCAGCTCCTGGAGCTGGAGCGGGAATTCTCTTCCAACATGTATCTGTCTCGACTCCGGAGGATCGAAATCGCCACGTACCTGAACCTGTCGGAGAAACAGGTGAAAATCTGGTTTCAGAACCGCCGGGTAAAGCATAAGAAGGAAGGGAAGGGCACGCAGAGGAACAATCACGCGGGCTGCAAGTGCGTCGGCAGCCAAGCGCACTACGCGCGCTCGGAGGATGAGGACTCCCTGTCGCCGGCCTCGGCCAACGAGGACAAGGAGATTTCCCCCTTATGAGGGAAGGCCACCTCTCTCGCAGCACCTGCTCCCGGGAAGCTCCATAAAACCAACTCGGCAGGCACCCAGAGGTCAAAATCCTCGCCCATTCCGTGGTCGCATCTGGAGAAGAACGGAGCGGAACGTTCCCAGGGCGTACAAGCCGGGCCTGACCCTTTGCGTCTCCTCCTTGACCTATTTGTTTAGGGTTCCACTCTCAGTAATAGATTTTTAAAATAATCTAGATTCAGCTCAGTCTTGTCACATAACAGAGAAAGAGTTTAAGTTTAGCATTATATGGGGTTTGGGTTTTGTTGGTTTTTTTACGCGCGTGTCCCATTTATCCCTTCCCTACCTCCTGTGAGAGCCTGCTAAGAATGCCGGGTTTCTGTTCCCTGTTGTTGTTTTTAAAATAAAAGTATCGATTTGCGAATAATTTAGAAAAGTAAACCCTGTAGGTCTTGCTTTCTGAAAATTTGCCTGGGGAGAGTTTAAAATCCAAGGGCTGAAAGTCCCTTTTTATATGAATAGTTTCATATACAATTTATATTTATATTTATTTAAATAAATGAAACAAAATCAAGGTTTTGAATTCATGGTGTTTGCTCTCACCATCTTCCCCTGTCTCCCTCTTCCCCGTGAACAGGAAGGGGGAAAAATGCCTCGGAATTTAGATGGAGGTGCTGACTAAAACTTGGTAATGTGGGTCTCTCGGTTGAAGGAGTTTGGGGCTCCACAGGATTTCCGTGTGACAGAAACTTCGGCCTAGGAGACACCTTCAGTCAGGATGCCACCTACTAGGTACTATTCCCCATTCTCAAAATAGCTAACCTCCTCACAGTTGACAGGACAAATCACTCCACTTAGAGTGAGGCTGACAATTAATGACAGGCAAACCTTTTAATTTATTTAGCAAGAAAGGATGAATATTCCTTATCTAGTATTTATTTTCTGTGACAGTCCCCCCCCCCCTTTTTTTCTTCTCCCTCATCTCTCTTAGTACTAAAAACTGAATTATGTGAAGGAATTTGAATAGTTGGAATAGTTTAGGAAGAGCAACAATCCATCAAAGCAGGTTGTAAGCAAACATAAAAATGTATTAATAATGCTGTAAGTGACTAGAACCATTGCCATTCCTGGTTGTTCCTCTAGCTAAGAAATTAGCTGGTTTTCATCAATGCCAAGAAGACAAAAGGTTACAGTCTCACTTTTCTAAAATAGCTCAGAAGTTCCCTTGGGCTCTTAATTTTTTTTCTGGTCTCCCTAATTTTAACCTCAATGGTCTCCATTCTAGTTCCTCTCTTCCCATCACCTTGCAGAGTTAATCTCTGTGAGCCTGTTTCTGGAGGAGACTGTGAGGTGCCCTCAGGAGAGCAACCGGCCGGTGCCCTCCTCCGCTTGCCGGGTCCTGTCATCTGAAAGAAGTGACGCTGGAGATGTGGAAACTAGCAGCTGTCATTTTCTGCAAGCTGAATCGCACCAGCACCCACTGGTGCTGTCACTGATTATTTTCTGTAGATTCTACCCAAGAGGTCAAACCATAGGAACTTTTTACAACACACATACATGGACTTCTAGGACTGAATTACTTTGGGTCAGTGGTAACTAAAACCTCAGCAAGTGGACTTGGGGCTCTAAAACTGAGGTCAGTAAGCTAATTTGGGAGGAAGGAGAAAGGAGGGAGGATGTGTCCTTGGTTTTTCCTTCCTAGAGTCTCTCTCTCTCTCTCTCTCTCTCTCTCTCTCTCTCTCTCTCTCTCTCCCCTCCTCCTCCTCTCCCCCTTTCTCCCTCCCTCTTCCTCCCCACAGAAGGAAAGTTCCCCTTTCAGATACCCGAGGCCGGTCACCAATTCCAATTCGTATACCGGGGATAGGCAGGAGGGAGGGAGGAGGGAGGAGAGACCGGACTGAAGACCGAGTGGGAGTCGCTTTGTGCAGCGACTTGGGTCTGGCCCTGCAGTGATCACTGGCAACCAGCTCGCTCCTGCCTGGGTCCGGGAGGCTCAGTCTCTGGGTCTCTCTCGAAAGCAGAGCCTCGAGCCCCTCTCCCGGCCCGCCGCGAAGGAGAGAGGGTACCGGCCCGCTGCCTTTTCTGAAGATCGCATCTCCCTCCTTCCCGATAAAAAGTCTCTCCGGGCAAGAGTACGCGGGTGGGAGGAAGTGAGTGTCCAGGAGCAAAGTACGCACGTTTAAGGAAAATTCCTGCTCAGGAAATAAAGAGAAGGATAAAAAGCCCCTGCAGACGCTTTCTGACCTCCTGCCCCAAGCTAAACCTCGTCCGAGCGGTGGGCAGACACCTCCTTACCCCTCCCGTCCATACTTGGCCGTCCCCTCTGTCGCCCCGCGCTGGGCCTAGCTCTCCCCAAGTTCACGTCTAGACAGGACCGAGCCTCGGCCTCGCCTGGTTCCAGGTCTTGTGCCGGGAGCGCACAGCCACCCTTTGACCACACTCGATGCGCCCAGCTCCGCCGCCCCGCAAAGGGACGCTGCACCGCCGGCCCTCCTTGACTGGGTTTGAGCAGCTTGCATGGTCTCAGCTCCTCTCCCTCCTGTCTTTGGGGAAATTACTCTGGAAAAGGGGAATATACATGGAGCCCTCACCAGAAGCAAAGAGATGCAGGCGAAGATACCTATCTAGACACTGGACATTGTCCAAAGAAATGTGGGGTGGGGTTGGAGGGAGTGTGTGTGTGTGTGTGTGGGGGGGTCCTCTTTATTCTAGGACATTCGGTGCCTAGCAGACCTTTTTTTTTTTTTCCTTAAATCCTCACCCCGGGGACATTTTTCCATTTTTGTTCAGGTAGAGTGGGAGGGAGAAAGAGAGAGTGGGATGGAGGGAGAGGAATAGAAAGAGAGAGGAACGTCCACGTGAAAGGGACACATCGAGTGGCTGCCTTCTGGAGACAAACTGCAACCCAGGTACCTGCCCTTAGCGGGATCGAACCGGATCTCCCTGGACCGCGGGCCTATACTCTAACCGCTGAGCCAAACTGGCCCCGGGCACAGCAGACCTTATCACTTTTGAGTGAATCATGAGGTCTCCTTGTATACTAGAGTGGATTTTTTTCACACACATACACACACACACACACACTTCCACAACAGTTGATGTTTCTGAAGTTTGCAAATCAGAACAAGGTTTTGGAAACCTGCTTTTAAAGGCCTACAGTTTCTTCTTAGGTTAAGAACACATGTACCAACACTCAGACACACAGATGCTCTCTGCTAACCAGTCTTGATATAAAACACTCCCGGTGAAGTGTCTCCAGATTTATAAAAGAAGAATGTTTACGGTGTATGGGGTCACCCTTGACAGTTTTTCTACCTGCGAAGCTCTAATTGCTAGCTTTTCAATACATCCCTTCTTGAGAAACAGAACTCTGTTCCCACAAAACATGGCCTTTCAGGGGCCTATAGACACATAATGAAAAGATAGAGAGAGAGTGAAAATGACAATTAGGAACCAGGATCTTGCTCCACTAAGAGAAAAGAAGTGGGCACCAGGAGCCATTAGTGTGGTTGAGAGCAACTCTTGAAAATAAGTCCTGTGGTAGCTTTAAACAGGAAAAGAGTTGGAGGGTGGGGGATGGAGAACAGGAAGGATGACTTCCTGCCCTTGTGTCCAGATGCAGTTCAGATATTCAGAGAAAAGAGGGGGAGCAGAGACCTTTCCCCTTCACCCTCCCATTCAGCGAATCAATGCATATGCAAGGCCAAGCGCCCAGCACTGACAGTGGCACTCAGCAGGCCTTCTTGGTTGCACCCAGCAGCTCATTCCTAGGGTGCGCATGAACCCAGATGATTGAGACGCTGCTAATGATGCCCCCCACCCCCTTATTCTGAAATGGTCATCACAGCTTAGTTCCCACCCACCTCATCCCTCCATGGAAACCTAAGAATATTTTAAGAGAAAGAAAAACTTGTGATGTCTTTGATTTCTGGCTTCCTCCTCCCTTCCCTCATTCCCACTCCCCACCAATTCTGCCCTTTTCTATCTGATCAAGATTAGAAATGCAGCTGGCAGGTGTGACTCAGTGGTTGAGGTTTGACCCAGGCACCAAGAGGTTGTGGGTTTGATTCCCAGTAGGGACACATGCCCAGTGGGGGGCATGCAGGCGGTGGCCAATCCATGTTCTCTCTCATCAATGTTTCTATCTCTCTTCTTCTCCCTTTCTCTCTCTCTAAAATCAATTAAAAAAATTTTTTTTAAAATTAGAAATGCAGTTTGTTTGGCCTACCCTCACTTTGGCCAAGGAATTGCCAGAAAGGTGATTGCTCTAATTAAAAGAGCTCACAGAGCCCTGGCCGGTTTGGCTCAGCGGTTAGAGCATCGGCCTGCGGTCCGGAGAGACCCGGGTTTGGTTCCCGCTAAGGGCATGTACTTCGGTTGCAGTTTGTCCCGGGCCCTGGTTGGTCGTGCGGGTGGCAGCCACTCGATGTGTCCCTTCACGTCGATGTTTCTCTCTCTCTCTCCCTTCCTCTCTCTCCCTCCCACTCTATCTGTACAAAAAATGGAAAAATATCCTCGGGTGAGGATAAAAAAAAAACAAAAAAAACTAAAAGAGGTCACAGAAGGCAATGGGGTCTGTGTATATGTACATGTACATGCATGCATGTGTATGTGTGCATATATATGTGTATGTGTGAGAGAAAAATCACTCCATTGGTGGTGGTCATGTTGTAAAAAGAGACGAGTTATTTTCACCAGGATTCCCCCCCCCCTTTTCTACCTTTCCTGCAGGTTCTATTCATTTTTTATGGTACTCCTTGGGAGATTTCTTGGAAGGAGGTGGGAAGGTGCTCAGAGTTGTGTTGGGGAAAGGAGTAAAAAGCTGAACATTGAAGGGAGACTAGAGAGCTCTGGGTTGGATCTTAGGCCAAGCCTTAAGGGTGTGAGAGGGGAGGAGAATGACACTTCCAGTGTCATTTACTGGAGGAAATTGGGTTTAAAGGAGTAATCATTGCTTTAAAAGGAGCTCCTCCCCTCCTCTCCAAATGCAGCCTAACACTCTCCTAGACATGAGTGCGGCTCAGTGCATCAGAGCAATTGTTCCTATTTTCATTATTCACAGGGTATCTTTGTATGTTAAGGTGACAGACCTCTTAAAAGGGAACATTTTTCCATGCAATTAAATGTTGCATTTCCTAGGCTTCTATTAACATAATTTAATATAAATCTATTTTATAAATCTTAGGCTCACATTACTGAAAATTGAGCCTCTGGGGAAAAATGCCTACATCTCCTTCCTAAATTAGGTGGAATAGGATCCAAAAACTTGCTATTCTAAACCAACTGGAAATATTAACAGTAGAGAAACCTTTTGTATTGTCTCTTGCTAATGGTGAAGGCATGAAGAAAAGAGGCAGCTTGTCTCAGTGAAGATGAGAAATTCCACAGGGATGCCCGAGGGGCCGAATGAAG